GGAATAAGCGTGATTTACAATGTTAAATCACACAGCTGAATAAAGGATGTAACAGCTGTTGATTGCTGGAATTGTCCAGTAAGTGTTTGATGCGAGACATCGACTCACTGATCCACACCACCAGGATCTACAGCACTGACATTGGGATGTCATTCGGACTAGAGAAGTGTGGTCTTCTGGTCACAAAGAGAGGGAAGGTCATCCACACAGAAGGGGTCTCACTCCCAGAAGGAACAATAGCAGACATAGAGGACAGTTACAAGTACCTGGGAATACCACAAGCAAATGGCAACCTCGATGAGGTCACAAGGAAAGGAGCCACAGCCAAATACCTCCAACGAATAAGGCAAGTCCTGAGAAGCCAGCTCAATGGCAAGAACAAGATCCATGCAATAAACAGCTATGCCTTACCAGTAATCAGATACCCTGCAGGAATAATTAGCTGGCCAAAGGAGGAGATAAAGACCACGGATGTTAAGACACTCAGAAACTACTAATCATGCATGGAGGGTTCCACCCCAAATCCAGCACTCTGACTAAACACGAGTCACAAGGAAGGTAAATAAGGCAGGTGATTCCTTGAGTTTTCTAAATTGAGGGAACCAAACCTTTTTGGAATCCTAAAGACCTTTATTGGAAATAAAAGCCCCTCTTAGAGGATTAAGAGGCAGAGCGACCACAAAGCTGATTTGTTGGATTCTGTGAAGACGTTTGCAGTCTACAGAGGAAATCCCACCCAGTTCTAGAAGAACGGGTCTAAGTGGTTCCAGCACACAACCTCCTCCTCAGGGTGAATTGATTTTAATTAAATGCTGAACATAAATCTCTTGTTGATAAATTACAGGCCTTAATATGTTTAATTTTTCTTTTGTGTGTTTGAATAAATAAAAAAATATTTCTTAAAAGGATCAATCAATTAATGAATTTTATTTATAAGGGACCCTTTCATACTAAAAGCAGCTCTAAGTATCATGAAGTTGAGGTGGTGAGAGAAAACGCAGACGAAGCCCAGGGTGTTTATCTTGGGCCCCCTGACAAAAAATTTGTTTGGGCCCCCTGCACAGCTGCTGTTACAATTTTTTGAGTATATTTGACCCATAAAAAGCGTCACAATTTTAAAGGCTTGCATTTGCCTTGCTTTCTTTGGTTCAATACTGATAATTAGCACAATATTTACTGCTCATGAATTTAACATCCAACAGTCCACGACCAGTAAGTATCTTTTCATCACTTTTCACCCCTTTACTGCGCTCCTGAGTAAAGGCATACATGGCACATGAAAATATACTGAAGACGAATAACTCGCCTTTAAAGAAGCTCTGCTTCTTCCGATGTGCAAGTCCACAAACTTTCTGGAAGCCTCCTGCACCTTCCCACGCACCGCTGAGCTGAAGCATTCACTCCAGTGACAAAAATAGTCAAATCCAGTTTACTCAAAATAAAGTAGTCTTGTACTTTTCTCAGGCCAAACATGTACATTGCTCACATTACTTGAGTTGAATAAACAATTTAGTGACACTTGAGTAAAGCATAGAAACCTAATTTAAGTAAGAATAGGTGTTGCCTTTTAGAGTGTTCTAAGCCAAAGGAAAAGACATCAAGACGTAAAGACAAAGTGGAAGAATGTTGAGTGTCTACTTATTAACACTAACAATTTTCTGACTCAGTATCATTGATATTATAGATTTCAACATATTTGTCTGTTTAACCCCACAGTTGAATCCAGCATGATGATATCAGTTCTATAAAATTCACCAAAGAAATTTAAAGGGGCAGCATTATGTGTTTTCCAGGGACATTTTATGGCACAATCAAGTAACTATCTCCACTTCAGATGCTATAAAATTCTATATGTATCAAATATGACTAAAAATAAAATTTACTTCCTAATTTAATGCCTTGAAATTGGGCCTTTGTCTCTGTAAAAACTCCTGCTCTTTCTGAAACTTCACCTCCAGGAAGTCAGCACATCGCTCCTCTATCAACCCGTCAAGTTGTCAACGTTTTTTTTTGTTTTTTTGTTGTTTTTTTTTACCAGTTTTGGACTGAGAAATTACATGTATAATGAGCTCAGATGATGCTTAGTTCCACCAGGTGTTTGCTAATTGCAGCTGACTAGTCTAAAGGACCTGAGTGGTGGAGTTGTGCTTTCTGAAGCGGTTGCCACTGGTGACTAAAGGATTTCTCAAACATGAAACAATCAAGCTAACATTCCAGGTATGATTTTGATGAGGGAATAAAAGAAAATAGGATGTAAAGCTAAAAATAAGTTGAATTTACATAACACTGCCCCTTTAAATAAGAATCTATTTGTCGCTGTACCTGTTAATACCCTCACTTCTTACACTGAAAAATAATTCTCATTTTCAAAGACATAAGGTTAGTAATCAGTGAACATGGCGGTTCTGAGGTACAGGGTGATTTTTGTTTGTTGATGGCTTTTAGAAGTCAGCTGGAATAAATTAGAATTTGAAAAAAAAGAGGGTGTAGAGGGTCAAGGTAGGGTGTAAAAGAAGTTTATTTTTTAGGAAAGAAACGTTTTTTAGTATGTTTTCAGAAAGTAATAACTATTATTTCTTTCCATAATTAATAACAATATTTGGTAACCAATAAATATAAGATTAACCATGGTTTAAGTACATGGGGTACGAAGTTGTTTATTTTTAGGCCCGACATATAAGAAGAACGAAATGGCAACGAAATTGGGTTCGACATTGGGGAGCACGAGCGAATCGTCCATGGACAAAACGCACGTTCAGGTTTCCGTAATAAGTACTACATTTACCAGGTTACCTAGCGGTCGGAGCTTGCGCAATATGTTTTGCACGGCCCTGGCTCTTGGCAGTGTATGTTTGTTGTTGTTGTCATATTAGGAGAGTGAAAGAGGCATTTATTATCGGGGCCATAACCGTGAACGTGTCGCATGAGGTAAGGAAGATAATGGCGCTTTTTGTGTGCTCTGTCTTTATCTTCGCTCACCTCCAGAACTGTTGCCTCGAATATAAACAGCACAGTTTAAGCTACTCAGCGTGAACACTGAGCTAGCAGAGACACGAGCTAACAGCAACACTGGAACAACCCAGCGAAAGTCAAATATTAGGAGTTAGATGCTTCTTGTTAAAGAGTTCACACAAGGAGGCTGTTGACCGATCAAGTTAGAGGCGTTTTGGGAGGTCAGCGGGATCAACTTCTGCCTGAGTGACCCCAGTAAATTAAGCTAACTACCTGTAGTCAGCTGGCTAATGTTGACTCACACACAATAACCATAGCTGTATGTGTCTAAAATAAGCAGGTGTGCCTTGCTGTTGAGCTAGTTTAAGGAAAAGGAAAGTGCAATTATAGTTTTATGATATTTCTATGGATTAAATGCTTGAAGTTGTTGCTAATAAACAAAACAAAATCGGCATGAACGGATAAGAGGAATAGCTTTGTTTTCCTGAGTTCACAGGCAGAAGTTCCCCCCTCCCACCAGCTGAGAACAAAGGATCCTCTCAGATTTGTTTGAACCTTAGGTCTCATAGTTAACTTTAGACTTCTAGCATTTTTTTTTTTAAACTAAGAACAAGTCAGCATTTATGTGATTCCATGATATCTTAGAAAGTAGAATAAAATCTCTGTCAGATGTTTTAGTTAATGTAATGACTTTGGAAGGTAGTTTTTGTTCCAGAGTTATAATCACCATGTTATTATTAGTGATTCAGCACAAAATGGCTCCTAGAGAAACAAACATCTGTGACATTTTACACAGGCTTTATTTCCTTTCTTTTTTTCTAATAAATCTGAACTATAAAAATCTGAAGTGCCTGCACTTGTGTGAAAACGTAACATTGTTAAAGCCTAAGTTAAGTACATAAAGTAGGTCGAAAACATAAAACGGATCCCTCACTATTATTTTTTTATGTCTTTTATATATTTATTTGCATGAATTTCTGAGGAATGCGTTGAGTACTTAACAGTTTTTTTTGTTGTTGTCATTTTCTTGTGAATTTCGGCAGGTTAGTACATGAGCCCCACCCTGCCATGAGAGCGGACCACCAGGTCAGCAGCCCCCCCTCCTTCTGCAGTTGATGGATCTGCAGCTGGTCCAGAGATGACAGACAGCGTCAGGGCCTTCCTCCAGAATGTTGCGACGGTCAGCACACAGACGCAACACACACTCATGAGACACGGCAGGATGATCATCACGATGCCGTCGTTTAGCTTGAATGCTTACCTAAGTGTATGACCTTCCTCAGCATCGGTGATACTTATACTTGAGTAGGAAGGAAGTGGAAAGAAGATCCAGTCCTTTATTGTGCTCTGTGCAACATAATAAAGGTGTGAATTTCTAAGTAAAAAAAACAAAACAAATTAATCAGAATAAGATCCAGCATCGAGCAAGAAAAGTCTTTACAGAAATTTATGTTCGAATGATCTGAACCCAGTGAAAAATGCATCTTTGGCAAAATGGCAAAAGAGTCATTTTTGCTTTCAGTGCAGCTAAGAGAGGCTCACGTAGATCCCCAGAAGTTACATAACCTTTTGACAAAAAAAAAAAAAACAGCTTAGAATTTTTTTTTAATCAAAGCATCTACTAAAAACAAGTGTTATTATTAGAGAGCCAACATTGTCTTGTTCTTAAAGGTTTTCAAATAAAGAAAAGCGTTAGACTTTTCCCATAGACAAATGTTGGGAAATGTTAATCCGTGAAATATAATTTACTGCCACTGAATAATTCAGAGTAAACTGAACTGAGAACCACAAGTAATAGAAACAGGGTAGAATTTCAGGAAGGTGTGTAAGTTTTACTAGTTGTACACGAGATGAGCATTTCTATGCATTTCTATGCTCATCTGCCAGCATAAGTTTTCAAGATAAAGCTTCTTACTTTCGCTAGAATCTTTATCATTTAATACCATCAGTATGACTGCTAGACATCTGAGATAAGAGTTGAAGGCGTTTCTTTAACTCTTATCTCAGTGATGGTAATAAAGGTGCACTGACGCACCTTTATTACCATCTTTTTCGCCATCTGTGCGTCATTTATTAAATTCCCCTGCAGACCTGGTTTCTCTACACTCGCTCTTTATTTGTAGTAGTATCTCGGCAGGTGAGTCTAAAAATTTAATTAATCTCCCAACACTGAGAAAATTTGAGTGTTAAAATAAAAAGAACTTTCAACCACATACGTGTTTGTTTATTTTGGATCTGCCAGGGGATCAAGGACTCCATATTGGGGATCGGAACCATCTCCAAGCTGGATGCTCGCATCCAGCAGAAAAGGGACGAGCAGCGGAGAAGGAGGGCCAGCGGGGCCCTCGCACAGAGACGGGCACAGAGTGAGGAACGCAAACCGGACAAGTAGGTCGGAAACACCAGGTTCTGACAGAGGTCTGTTTGGATGTGAAAACAGATGTTTTCACATCAACACAGGTTACATCTGTTTATACTAGTATGTTGAATTCACGGCATGCTGCAAAAGATGTTTGGAAAAAAAACAAGTCTGGAGTTTGGAACTTGATAGAGATGTTATCCAGGTCTGGAGCTGCACAACGTCAACCTGCAGTTGTCGTCACAACATTCACGAGTGTCGTATATCAATTCCGATGTTTTATTGTGAACGCAGCTCTGGGTTGTTGCTTCCATCACTAACAGGGCTGCTGTGTCAGAAACAAACACCTGAATTACACGAGACACCAAAAGTGTCTCATGTAAAGACAGTAGAAAATACAGTTTTCAGATTTTCATTTTAAACTTCCTAATATATTTTTAGCCATATTTACACTATTGTACTCAAAAGCTCCAGCTTTCTTTTATTTTACCAATTTTATTTATTCTTGAAGGGGGGGAAAAAGGAAACTACTGAAGTGATCTGTTTAAAGTTAATAGACAAATTCCTCATTTAACTGATCTGTACTCAGCATAATAAACACTGACATAATTCAGAAAAGATTAAATATTTAACGTGCGTGAAACAGTGACTTTAAACGAATGAATGAGCGACGCAAATAATGTTCCAGCTCCGACTTATTGCAGAGGTAAAAATGTCAATGATGATTTCCACTCTGCTCTGACGCACCTTTATTAAAACTAAAATCGCCTTTACTATAAATAATCCTGACGGTTATAATTTGTCTTTAATCTTTCAGTGAGCCTAGAGTAGCCAGCAGGATATTTCAGTGCTGTGCCTGGAATGGAGGAGTGTTCTGGGTAAACTGCTTCTCTGCTCTCTCTTCTCTTCTGAAGCTTCTTGGTTTACAATTGCTTTTTTTGTTTCTTTTTTTTTTTTTTTGTCAGGATGCAGTCAAATGTGATCCCTCACTGTGCTTTATCTCCTCAGCTCAGTCTGTTTCTCTTCTACCGGGTCTTCATCCCCCTGCTGCAGACCCTCACAGCAAAAATCATCGGTACGCGCAGCCGCTGGTAGTTGCGGAGCGGATTGTTGGGCTTGTTGTTGATGGAAGCTGTCTGTGCTCCAGGTGACCCCTCCCTCCACGGCAGCGTGTGGTCCTGGCTGGAGTTCATCCTGACCTCCGTCTTCAGCGCTCTGTGGGTTCTCCCTCTGTTCGTCCTTAGCAAGATAGTGAACGCCATCTGGTTCCAGGTCAGAGCCACAGTCTGCAGTGTTCAAATCAAAATAAAATAAAAAATAGTGGTGGGATTAGATTTAAAAATGTGGTAAATTGCAGGGTCTGTAATTAATCCTATTTTAATCTAAATCTATACATTGACAAAATAATCAACATTGGAGCTTAAGCAACCCTTTATGATGCCAAGTTATTGAATAGTAGACATATGAGATACACCACAAAGATTTTTGTGTTTTTAATCTTTTATTTTGGTTATCTAACCATCAGATTGGTTTTAACCAATCCTAACCCGTTCAGCTTTCAAGCGTTTCAGGAACAATTGAAAGCTGAAACACTTTGATCATTTTTAACATGTTGAAGTTGATGAAGTTAATCAAAATTAACTGAAAAAAAAACAAAAAAATAAGCATAGATTCAATTATTGGTTCAATTAGATCAAGGTCAGGTCATCACAGCGACGTTGTCTCCAAAGGTCAGAGGTCAGCCTGTAGTCTTTTTTTTTTTTTTGCAGGACATCGCTGACCTAGCGTTTGAGGTGTCCGGCGTCAAAGCCCAGTCGTTCCCCAGCGTCAGTAAGATCATCGCCGACATGCTGTTCAACCTGCTGCTCCAGGCGCTCTTCCTCATTCAGGTAAAACGCTCTCCTCGCTTCCGGAAACCACATTCCTGCTCAAGCAAAGATACCAAAACACATGTCACATCCACGAACGGCACAATGAGTGAAAGCTGTGGTCCATCAGGGGATGATTGTCAGCCTGTTCCCCATCGACGCGATCGGACAGATGGTCAGTCTCCTCCACATGTCTCTGCTCTACTCCCTGTATTGCTTCGAGTATCGCTGGTTCAACCACGGTGAGACTACCCTTCGTTTTCCACTCTTGCAGTGAGTTGTGTGGATTTAAGAGGGGGCTCAAGCTAAAATGATCACTTCTGTCTGTCGAAGGCATCGAGATGCACCAACGACTGTCCAACATCGAGAGGAATTGGCCATATTACTTTGGCTTCGGTTTACCCATGGCTCTGCTGACCGCCATGCCCTCCTCGTACATCATCAGGTCAGCTGCAGAGTCAATTTCTTTTTTCTTAAATATAATGAAATTACACAAAACATAGTACTATCTCAAAAAGAATACCAGAAGTGGTTTCTAACTGATCTGTTTTTTTCCCCCCCTTTGTAGTGGCTGCTTGTTCTCCATCCTCTTTCCTCTGTTCATCATCAGTGCAAATGAAGCAAAAACACCAACAAAACTATAGTGAGTGTGTCAACTACTTTTAAAATGCATGGAAAGTCTTGAGCCAACCCTCATTCATCAGTTTTTTTTTTGTTTTGTTTTTACATATTTATTAAAACGGTTTTAAAATAACTGAAGTGACATGGTTAGTTGAACACAATGTGGGTGGAAAATACATAAATACTTATCCTAGCCGCCATCTTGTCTTCTGTTTCACTATACAGGGATGTGACACTTTCAAACTATATTAATTTCCGAATTGTCTTCTTGTTCTACTTCATGGCAGCATGATTTTTTTTAGCATCAATGTGGTTTTTGAAACTTTCATATCATGACAATCCTACTTCACCTTCAACTTCACAATTATGTATTTTTATTGTTCTGTCACAAGAAATCTCAATGAAATACAGTGAAGTTTGTGGTTGTAAGACGATAAAAACATGAAGCGTTTAAAAACATTTTGGCAAGTTGCTGTCCAATGTAAAAGTAGTACAAATTAGTGTTTCTTTTTTAAAGTGTTTTTTTTAAAAACATTAGCTGCTTTTGCATTCGTTGTCACACCTAGTTTATGACATTACCCAAAAGCTCTGGCGGTTTTTGGTTAAAATGTACAGAAATGAGGCGCAGCTCCAGACTTTCCTGTGACGCCGTCGGTAAACCCAATGCGTCTCTGATAACGTGCGTTCCCTCCCAGTCACTTCCAGCTGCGGCTCTTCTCTCTGGTCGTGCTGATCAGCAACAAGCTTTTCCACAAGACCGTCCACCTGCAGTCGTCTCTGACGCCGTCGCCCTCGTCCGAGAAGCTGGCCTCGCCCCACACCTCCCCGAACCGCCACAGACTGCTGCAGCACAGCCAGTGATGGAGCCACGCCGAGCACGGAACGATGTCGACCAACGTTTGGCGTCGGCCGGTGTCGGTTCCTCCAGATGGGTTGACCTCGAAGAAGGCGACATGCAACGCAAGTTGAAGGGTTTATGTAGATTATCCAATCTTCGGCGGCTGGGTTCGGTTTTAATCCGCGCCAGGCACATTTTGACTCACATTTCTCTCTTAACACGTTATAGGAATATATACAGCTGTAACTTTATTTTGGTTTGGTCTTCTTTCCGCATAGGTTTTTCTTTTCTTTCTTTCTTTTTTTTTTGTTTGTATAATGTGCCATTTGAGTGATGCTTCGTAAAAAATACAGCACAAGAGACCATATAGTTTTAATCTTAAGCAAATATACCTTAATTAGACTTTTTCTCTCTTTGCAGGAGCATTGAGAAGAAACGGCACATTTAGGTTCCACCTGCAGCATATTGCTTAGTGCCGAGTCTTGCACATGGATGTCGATGTCTGACGAGTTTCATAAACAAATCCTTTAAAGGGAGTGTTCTTCTTTTTTGTTTTACCTTCCTACATTGCAATCTCAGATCAATTCAGGCAGCACCATGTTGCTGTTGATTGACTTTTATAAGAAATGGCCACTCTTTTGTTTTTTGGCTTCTCTTCCCCCGGAAGACCACCACTATCTGTAATATATGTAGTGACACCAGTGGGTGAAGGGTTCACCCCACTCCTTTAATGGTTGTGCGTCATTGGCTGGTCATAGTGAGACAACACTGCCAAAACACTGCAGTTTTGTTTTCTTTTCCACTTTAGGCACAACCATGTGAAGCTCTATAATAAAGAGGCCTTTCTTTAGAGAAACCAAGTAGGTGATCACCCTCACTTAGCTAAACCTATCCTACCCAGAAAGCTGATGTCATTATACCTAATCTGCAACTATAAATTTTTTTTTTATTATGGTGTACATAATAAAAAAACGCGTCTGAAGAAACGAGGGCGTCGTTTCTTCAGACGCCCTTGTTCACTCTGTAGTCTTTTCTCTTTCATTTATCAAAAGCTCATGGCTGTGGATAGGGGCAATGATTTTTAAAAAAGTGTGCAATTCTGACAGGAGCATAAGTGTTAGTGATTTTATTGTTGTCGTTTGTTTTTCTTTTTGTAAAAGCGACATTTAATTTCAATAAAATTTGGTCAGTATTCAATGTTTGAAACGTGTCTGGTGATTATTTCTGCTTTTGTGTGATTTGAATTGTGAAGTGAAATGTGCTGCTGTTGCAGTTTGCATTTATTTTATCCCTGCTGCTGCCAGACGTTTCTGGCCAGACCTTCCCAAAAACAAGATTCTACTGGCACAAATAAGGCAACTGAGATATTCAAAGTAAATCCATTTGTATTTTTCATCCAGTTTTTTTTTTTTTTTTAAATCAAATTCCTCCTTTGTGTACTTCTGCTCTCTAGCTGCTGCATGTCAGAAAAGTGCATGCATTTCAGGAACCAAAACACATGTCAGTGGTCAAGAATTTTCTATGGTTATTTCAAACCATGTGATTAGCCAGCTGACTGACATGTTATTAATTATGAAATTTCAATAATGTTTTATGGAGCATCACCAATAATTGTTAGGTGAAGATGAGTCCAGCTTGCCCAGCCTTGTTCAGTAACTTGTTCAGTAATCCTCTGGGATTTAAAAAACAAAACAGAAATTACTTATAAACGTTTAAAAAGAAAATATTAGCCTGTTTTCTTTAATAGAGTCTGCCTAAATGTAACAGTAGGGAGGAATCTCCCCCACAGATCTGGAGCTAAATAGCCAATCATGTGTAGTTGCCAGGGGAAGAAATAAACATTTGGCCAATCAGCATCGCTGAATTTAATACATTTGGGGCGCTCAGAATATCTCGCCTCTGCCATAGGTAGATGACAGAAAATTTTGGGTCGCCATGGTGATAAAGTTGCTAGTGGCGACAACGCCAGTTGAGGGAAAGCTAAAATATCCACCTTGACTGACAATGACAATATAGAGGATTTTGTAGACGGCAGGTAAGCTACAGCTTCTGCTCCTCTGCCATGATATTGCCCTAATTTGTTGTTGTTGTTTACAGTTTTTGTTCAGCAACTGCTGTCATGTATTCTTTGCTGATTGTTTGTTATGAACGTTGCGGTGGTTTATTTAATGTTACTCTGGATAAGATAAAATAAAAACATAGTTATGTCTTTTTATTATTGTTGTTAATAGTGAAGATGCTCTTGTTGCATTTGAGTTCCTGCTGCTGTTATAAAGTTAATGTTTGGTTAATATCATGTTGATTTCTGGGACAGATGGCCATTCTGGTGTGGTGTTGTACAGGGAGGAGCTGAAGTCCTATTTCCAGCAAACTCAGCTCTATTAACATTCATATCAGTAAGATTTTGACTTATTGTCAGGTTAATTCAGGTGATGGCTTGGTGTAGTTCCAGTAGAATTTGAAGTCTTTTCGATTCCTAGATTAAATGCTAGCTGGTTATTTCACCCTATAACAGTGTTTTAGTTCTTTTGGGCAGGAAGACCTCTGCTGCTTAGTGTTATTAGCTGTCTTTCCTCAATTTTCATAGAATTTAGCCTGTCGTTTATTCAGAGTTAAAATTGTAGGCAACCACAAATTAGTTGGCATTTTTCGCAGTTTTGAGTCTCATTCAGAGTAAGGTATTTGACACTTATTAAATAATATATGTTTTGCAAAATACTGAACAGACTTTTTACTTTTAACTAATCGAACACTTTATTTTATTTTGCTGTATGAAGAATTCATATTCAATTCAGAATATCCTATTGATCCCAGGGGGAAATTAAATGTTATCTTTCCCATTTAGATTTACTCTAATGTTATCATCGTGGAATTTTTGTTATTTTTCTACTGTTTATTTGATTCAATTTCCCACCACAGTCCTTACACTGGACTATGAAGGGAAAGAATGTATGTGTGAATTATTTCACTGTAACAAGAATCTCAAATTGTATTTATTTATTTTTTAAAGTTACAAGTTTTAGAAACATAGAAATTACTTAATTGGTAGTGCCCCACAGTAAATGGAAATTGAAATACTTAAATATTTATGAGTTTAACTTATAGAATATAAACTTTTCATCTGAATTCATGAAGTTCTTATGTATTTGTATATTTATGCATTAATATATCACTGGCGTGCTAAATTGATCCTGGAATAATTTATTTTCAGTTGTATTTTATTTAATTGTATTTTAATTATAATATTAATAAATAATTGTAATGATTTATCTACTACCTTTTGGCAATTTTGACTCTCCATCTGTATCATTTTTGACCAGTAGGTGGAGACACACTTCTTCATCTACTCTAAGGACACGTCACTACACCGCAGAGCCAAGGCAGAGAGCAAAGATTAAATGACAACCAATGAACCAATCAAATTTCTTGTAGGCTCCCGTTGACTGGATTTTGACCAATAAACGTGCACGCAAATGGTAGTGGAGGCGGGATTACGTTGTGGGTGAAGGTATAGTGTGTGAGAAGTGTATGAGTAGCAGGAGCGGCGGAGCGGGTGAGTGTTTTAAAAAAATATATTATTGAGTTCTTGTTTTCCTCGGGAATATATATTTTCTATTTGAGGTCTGGAATTTATGGAGGTTTTAAAATAAATAAATAAATAAATAAAAAAGGCGCGTTACTGGTTTTCACGTAACAGGAGCTAGCATGTTAGCCTCTGTAGTTTATCTTCTACATATACATACAGCAACAGAACTAACACATACTGTCTAATTTCTACTCTCCCCTACATGTCTGCATGCTAAATGCAGCAAACATTTTTATATCTTGGCTAGCTTTTACTACAGCTGCCGTGGAAGTTGGTTAATGCCATTTTAAGGCTAGCTTTGATTGATGACTCTGCTGCTTAAACAGATAGCAGTCTTTCAAATAGAATCTCTTTGGGCTCTGTGATTCCGCTTTAATCGTTAGACGAGATGTTTTATTGCAACGCTGGACACAGCCGTCTGCACGGGCTTCAGAGAGGCTGCTTCCTGGTTTCTGACGCCATATGCAGTGCGTGGCCTTAGCTGGTTGGACTGGAGACAGAAGTTCTCACCAGCAGCTCAGACCCTGAATCTTGACTCTTGCTGATCATTGTTGCAGTGGTCTCATAATGCAGGATCTAACCGACGTGCGCCACTGCTTGTCCTGTCCTGAACAGGTAGTACGGTGAGCTGTCCCTGATCTCACCAAAATGACCAAGCTGGGCTTCCTGCGTTTGTCCTACGAGAAGCAGGACACGCTGCTGAAGCTGCTCATTCTTTCTATGGCTGCTGTCCTCTGTGAGTCCTCTGCATCCTTTATCCTAACAGAATGGCTGGAATACGAAACAGAGCAGGTGTTTATGTTTTTTGTTGTTTCTCCTCCTCAGCATTCTCCACCAGGCTCTTTTCCGTTTTGAGGTTTGAAAGCGTCATCCATGAGTTTGATCCGTAAGTTTCCATTGATGCCTTTAGATGAAATGATGTCCTCATGCTGTTGGCTCACCCTAACTTTCTTCTAACTATCAGGTACTTCAACTACCGTACCACCCGCTTCCTGGCAGAAGAAGGATTTTATAAGTTTCACAACTGGTTCGATGACCGAGCATGGTATCCCCTGGGAAGGATCATCGGCGGCACCATTTACCCAGGTAGGAACGATGAGCTTACAGTCATTCCCTTTTCTAGCTCTTATTTGTGTTATGCAAAATTGAGGAATCCATTCACACATTTGTCACACTTGGTCATGGTGACCAAAAAGCTTTAAAATGTATATTAATCTTTTGTTTTAGCAGCATGATCTGTGCTCATAACAAATAGAAAATATTCAGTCTTTATAACCACGTTGAGAAATTCTGTCAAGAAATAGTTTTCGATGAAATCACCACGGCTACAGATGATTTAGTCCATTAAAAACCCACGTTTACTTGACTAGTAGTTGACCAGGTTTCTATTTAAAATGCTCTGCTATTTTAATAACTTGATTATGTTCCCACAAGCCCTCAGCATCATACATCCTCACCATAGCTAACAATGGCCCAGAGGTGCTTTTAGTTGATGGGGAGAACCTTTAGTGGTTGTCATGGAAATGCCAAGATGCTTCTGATTGCTGCAGTGAACTTTAGAGAATCATACGGTTTCCCTCTGTACCATTTGGCACGCTAAATATTGGCTCCCGTCCAGGCAAGTCCAGGGTTTAAAAAAGATGGATCTCAGTGCCACGTCATATTTTTACCCCAGGAAACAGAAAGTCATAGAAAACTACTTAGAAATTCCTAGAAACAAATGTTTTAGTTTCATTCATTTCAAAAATAATTTCTTCACATAGGATTTTTTTAAAATTATATTTTTCATTTTGAAGTATTTTTTTAAGCAACTTTATCAGATGTACCACGTAATGAGTTGACCGTCTTCCACTCATTTCCTTCTCCAGGACTCATGGTGACGTCGGCCGTCCTCTACCACGTCCTCCACTTTTTTCACATCACCATAGACATCCGAAACGTCTGTGTGTTCCTCGCTCCCCTCTTCTCCTCCTTCACTGCCATCGTCACCTACCACCTCACCAAGGAGCTGAAGGTAAAAACAATCCACCACAGGAACACACTCTCAGTGAAGAATCCAGAAACTTGCAAGTGAAAGGTCTTTTTCTTTTCTTTTTTCTGTGGGATATTATTTGATTTAAACAGAGCAACTGTCTATTTCTACATCTTTGTAGTATGTGTTTTATACATTAGGAAAGGACAGAATCAATTTCTTTCCTTCCTACTTTGAAATGCAAAAGTTTGAGTTCATGCTTTGTTTACAAAAATAAAGTCAGTTTCTCCTGATAGTTGCGTAATTTTGGCACCTTTTTTGATTGCGGAAACTTTTTTTTTTGCTTTTTACATAAACTTGCAACTGGCTCATTTATTTATTATTTATTTATTTATTTATTTATTTTACTTTCAGTGACTTAGTCTTTCCTCACTATGTTGGCTCTTTGCTCAGTAAACAGTCACGTCCTGACTGAGTTGTCAATGCATGTGGAATTGAAATAAAATGTAAATACTTCTTGGTTGGTCTGTAACGCTGCATGCTCCTTGTGTGTAGGATGCAGGTGCTGGGCTCCTGGCGGCGGCCATGATCGCAGTGGTTCCTGGTTACATCTCCCGTTCGGTTGCCGGCTCCTATGATAACGAAGGTACTGGACCTGCCGTGACCGCTCAGCTATTACGTCACAGTCTGCAGAAAGGTTCTGGATTGGTCACGTAAAAGTAACGTTACAGTTAAGATGCCGTCTGTATCTCCTCCCCCTCTCAGGTATTGCCATCTTCTGCATGCTGCTGACCTATTACATGTGGATCAAAGCGGTGAAGACCGGCTCTGTTTATTGGTCCTCCATGTGTGCGCTGGCATACTTCTACATGGTGAGGCCAGTGAGGTGTTTGCATGGCGTTTTTTAAAGTAAACAGCGGTGACTGTGAGGTGTGTGTGTGTTTAGGTGTCATCATGGGGTGGCTACGTGTTCCTGATCAACCTCATCCCCCTCCACGTGTTGGTGCTGATGCTCACAGGCAGATTCTCTCACCGTATTTACGTGGCTTACTGCACCGTCTACTGCCTGGGCACCATCCTCTCCATGCAGATCTCTTTTGTCGGCTTTCAGGTATGTTGCATCGCCAGTGGCAGTATTTTTGTGTATAAAAGGCTTCCATGTGACGGTGCATCTTCCCTCCCACGCCAGCCGGTGCAGTCGTCGGAGCACATGGCCGCCTTCGGAGTGTTTGGGTTGTGCCAGATTCATGCCTTTGTGGATTATCTGCGCAGCAAACTCAACGCGCAGCAGTTTGAGATCTTGTTCAAGAGCGTCATTTCTCTGGTGGGCTTCATCCTGCTGTCTGTGGGAGCTGTTCTCATGCTCACAGGTAAACAACGTTGCCAACATTCTTGACCGACAATAACGACGTTTCCGTCGACGTGTAAATATGTGTGGGTTTTTTTATACGAATTTTAAAGAACTGCATTAGAAAAAGGTGGATGGAAATGGTGAAATCGGAAATGACGTCCTCATATCAACTTTACGTTTATGTCCTTGAAGTTGATATAATAAAGCTGATAATCGAATCAATTTCAAGGATATAGACATTGCATTTGAACAATCTGAGAACTGGTCTGTGAAATGGGAGTTGATTCATTTGGAACATGCTGGATTTATTTATTTATTTTTTTTCTTGTTCTGGTTTCCTGTCAGGTAAAATTTCTCCCTGGACCGGTCGTTTCTACTCTCTGCTGGACCCCTCCTACGCTAAAAACAACATCCCCATCATCGCCTCTGTGTCAGAGCACCAGCCGACAACCTGGTCCTCGTACTACTTTGACCTCCAGCTGCTTGTCTTCATGTTTCCTGGTGAGTCGGCAGAAGCAGAGGATGCAGTCATCACAACTTGATCGCTCTCTGTGTATTTACCTTCAGATTTCCTTTCCCTCCTTTCTTGCAGTCGGCCTGTATTACTGCTTTAACAACTTATCCGACGCCAGGATCTTCATCATCATGTATGGAGTGACCAGCATGTATTTCTCAGCCGTCATGGTACGTTTTGTATTTAGCACGCTCCCCCAGTACATCTGCTTTCACAAAGGATCGTAGAAAAGGAATGTTGTTGCTTATTTTAAGTGCTAAAGGGTCAGATCAACATGGGGATAAAACGATTAATCATGATTAATCAGTTGTTGAAATAATCGTCAGTTAATTTAGTAATCGATTAATCATTAAGTGGAGTATACAGACTCAAAAAGTAATTTCCTGGAAAAAACACATTCAGAACAGTAGATTATCTAAAACTTTACAAACATATGGATTCTGCATTAAAGATGGAAAAAAAAAACATCTTTGTCTGTAAATATATTTTATCCCAAACTCCTCAAAGTGTGTGTAGTTTTAGTTCAGATTCATTAAAGGAATGCTATGTTGCTGCATTTTAAGCACTAAAATGTTTATTTTCTTAATTCCGAAATGTAATTAACTTGTTTGGATCTTTTAAAGTATTTCTTATATTGTGTAAATGTGCCCCACGTGGCACGAATTGAACGGATCGTTTTCTTTTCACGCTTCCAGGTGCGTCTGATGCTGGTGCTGGCTCCAGTGATGTGCATCCTGTCGGGTATCGGTGTGTCCCAGGTCTTAACGACCTACATGAAGAACCTGGACGTCAGCCGGCCGGATAAGAACAAGAAGAAGCAGCAGGACTCCACCTACCCCATCAAAAACGAGGTGAAGTCAGAAATCACTCACCTGTTTAAAGCACTTTCCACTGAAGGCTGAAGGAGAAATGCTCTGGCGTTTCAATGAGCTTTACCGTTTATGTTGCCATTAATCCTTAGCGTTTCAGTCGAAGGAGCATCTTCCTTCAACAGTAACGCGTTTCTGATGCGTATGTGTGTACCCTGCAGGTTGCCAGTGGGATGATCCTGGTCATGGCTTTCTTCCTCATCACCTACACCTTCCATTCCACCTGGGTGACCAGCGAAGCCTACTCCTCTCCCTCCATCGTCCTGTCCGCCCGCGGCGGAGATGGCAGCCGCATCATCTTTGACGACTTCAGAGAGGCCTACTACTGGCTCCGCCACAACACCCCTGAGGTCAGTCATAGAAACGAGGGATGGGGAGAGGTGGTGGTTGTTAAACGGGCAGTATATGAACAACTTTTTTCTTAAGCTTTACATGATGTTACAATGTTATTCCCTAATCTAAAACATACCTGGAGTGTTGCTGTGATTCTCTTTTGCGTGTTTGAGAAATCCTTTAATCTCCTACGGCAACCACTCAGTTGTGCAAAACCCCAGTGTGGACCCAGTGCCGCCTTTGGACGCAGCTCATCCTCTGAGCTGCAGATCCTTTAGACATGTTTGCTAGAGTAAAGCGTTTTTCTCCTCTCTCAGGATGCCAAAGTGATGTCGTGGTGGGATTACGGCTACCAGATCACCGCCATGGCTAACCGGACCATTCTGGTGGACAACAACACGTGGAACAACACGCACATCTCCAGGGTTGGACAGGTGAGCTTTACGTTTATAGATTTTTGTCGCGTCTAAAGCATTTCGGTGCTGACTGCGGATGTCTCCTGTGCCGCAGGCCATGGCATCCACTGAGGAGAAGGCCTACGAGATCATGAGAGAGCTAGACGTTAGCTACGTTTTGGTCATATTCGGAGGACTGACTGGCTATTCCTCAGATGGTACGTCATTAAGCTACATTTCGGTACTTTGTATCTCTAGTTACTGTGTGCTGAGTCTGATGCAAGCATCTCTTTACATGACAGACATCAATAAGTTTCTGTGGATGGTCCGCATTGGCGGCAGCACGGAGACCGGCAGACACATCAAGGAGCATGACTACTACACTCCCACCGGAGAGTTCAGAGTGGACCGCGAGGGTTCGCCCGTCCTACTCAACTGCCTCATGTACAAGATGTGCTACTATCGCTTCGGACAGGTCTACACAGAGGGCAGTAAGTCATCCGAGCAGTATGAACTGATTAGTCACAGGCCAAAGAAGAAAATGTTGACCAACATTAACCTCCTAGATTTTTTTTTTTTTTTTTACACTAACGCAAATTGTAGTATCTGTAGGGATTGCACTCAATAGTCATTTGCGATGATGTGGTAATATATGGTGTAGCTTAAAATTTTCTATTTCATGCACTTTAATTAGCATGCTTTTTATTTCTATGTAAATGGAAAACTAATCTCAGTTTAGAGACGTAATCCTCTACTACACGATCTGTTCTGTTGGCTAAAATATTTTTTGTTAAAAAAGCAAAGTAACATTTTATATTAATTAAAATACTAGGTAGCCCATAAGAACCTATTTCTCTAGATATTGTAAAAAACAAATTTGAAGAATTGCCAGAATTTAGTTCAATACCTTTAGCCATTTATGCCGTCAGTGCACCCTCTAGTGGTCTCAGATAAAAATACATTGATTTTTATAATTGCATCTTTTTGAGATTAAAGTTCTCAAAAGATCTTTACACCTTTACATTACTGAACATGGCACATCTAATTTTTTAAGTCTTGATTTCTTGTGCTCTTTAGATCACACTATTTTTACAATTACAATAAGAAAAAGTGAAAGTATCCTGCCTGGAAGCATTTGTTTTAGCACTTGCCCAGATTAGCTGTTGGCACCAATTGTGCAGTGACGGGCTCTACTGTGATTGACGGACTATAAGAAAACCTGTCTGCTGTTGTTGCAAATGCACATAGTTTAAGACCTAAAATAAATACTGATTACTGCTGCAAAAAGTTTCCACTCAGACTGTGCTGTTCTCTGCAGAGAGGCCACCTGGTTATGACAGAGTGAGAAATGCTGAGATTGGGAACAAGGACTTTGAGCTGGATGTACTGGAAGAGGCCTACACTACAGAACATTGGCTGGTCAGGATATACAAGGTGAGTCTGTTGGGATTGTTTGAGGGAAAACTCCAGTCAAGGTAAAATGCATTTATTTCAAACTTCAAATTATTGGTGCAACAGTTTCAGACAAAATAAGCAGCAGCTTAGAATGTACACAGGCAATTCAGCATAAATAGAACATGTTGCATTGCAGCTTTCCACTAGGCAGTCATCAGTGAAAGCTTTGAAAATGTTAGTCCTGGAATCAGATTAACTCATCGTCTTGTTTCGGGATTCAACTTTTCTCTTGTTTCAGGTGAAAGATCTGGACAACCGGGGTCTTTCGAGAACATAAAACCTTCAGGCAGCAACGTTGCTCTTCAGCCTACAGCACTGAACATCTTCCCATGGGAGTCGGCGGACGGTTGCGAGAAGTACTTTTTATACTTTAGGGAAGAAAACTGCATCAAAGTGATTTTGGTTCTTGAGTTGTTTTGGGGTTATTTGGGTTTTAAGAATCTCCGTTTTTACCTGAAGCTGGAGTCAAAACATCCTGTCTGATATCAGGACGTATAATTTTCCATTGGGTGTGTAACTGAAAGCAGTGTTCAATTAAGAGTGCTTTGGATTTTTTTGTTTTTTTACAATGTGATCAATTAAAGTGGGATTGATTGTGAATTGTGTTGAATGCCTTTTTTGTTTAGTCATTGCAAGCTCTTAGTAGAGCTCGCATCCTAATTTTCTGAGTTTAAGTTTCTGACTTTTAAAACAACAGGACGTAGATTAGGTGTCATTTTATACTGAAAAATTGAGTAACTGTAGAACATAGTTCTACAGTTACTCACACTTACTTTAGGTTAGTAAAACAAAGTGTACCTATGTAGTGTGCCATAGCTTAAGTCCTTTACATTTCCGTATAAAAACTAAATACTTAGTATGTATTTTGATCCGGCAGCTCCTGCAGAAGCGCAGGGTTCTTCCTGTAGATGTATGCATTAGGATCGTCGTCCAGCTTCACCAGCTCGGCCAGCGACGACACGCATGGATCGTGATCGGTGAGCATTGTGGGCAGATGGGAGGATTTATGGTGGATGCGACTGGACCGGCGCACCGGCGTCAGAAACTTCAGGTCTTTGATGTTGCTCTTCCTCCTCGATGCGCTCGCACTCACCTCGCCTTCAATCGTTTTCTTCACACTACATGGTTTCAAGAGTAGAGGGGGGAGGGGGGGGGGAAACAACTTAGAATGAAGACAGGAAGCAAACAAACAGTGATGCAAATAAAAATGTCTGCACTTACCTCTGCAAGTATGGCGTGGTCTTCACACTGTATTTGATAACTGAAGCGCTAGTTAGGGGTGTGGTCTCCATCACATCATCACTACCATCATCTTCTGAATCATCCTCACTTTCCTCAACATCTTCCTGCTTCACTTCCGATTCCTCTTTAATCTCGGTCTGTTCATCCTTCTGCTCTTCATCTCTACATTCTTCTGCTTGGTTGCATTGTGCATCAGCATCTAAATGAAGCAAAATGAGAATTATTAAAATAATCTTGTGTGGGTTGTATTATGAAGTTACACAAAATCTTGACTTTAAATTCACTGCAGTAACCTTGACAACGTACCATCAGAGCTTGCGGATGGAATCGCCATGGCCTCCAGGGCGTCACAAAGGTTCACAACAATCTGTCGACATGAAAATACAAGATTAGATTACCTTCTAACTTGGTGTAACATTTTTAATCCATTTCCATAAGAAATCTGCTTACATCATCTACTCTGCCAGGAGGTTCAGACAGATCTGCCTCAGAGTCGTCCAGCAGATCCAGTGTTGTGTTCATGATCCCAGGAATTGGGCTCTGTGCACTACCTCCTTCTCTCTGAGTTTCCACAGAGGGCGCTGGGATTTCATGCTGCATGCCTGGGTTGGGTTCAGCTCCACACTGTGCACTGGGCTCCAGGTCAATATTCTCTGGAACCTTTGGATCCACTTTTACTTTTGTAGCAAGCTTTGTTTTTGGAGGTGCTTTGGTTGTCATGGCAGGTCTTTTCAGAGTCTTCCCCTTGGAGGCCAGCCACTCAGCCAGTTTTGCTCTGCATGAAAAGAAGGTTTAATAACTGTAAGGTTGAGTAAAATACATTTTTGCTTCTGTTTGCATGAATACTTTACCGTTTTTCTTCTGCAGTCTCTGCAGCAACTCTGTACTGACTCAGTGTGCTTGAGATCCCAGGTCTACTGGCTTTCTTGTCGGTCACTGGAATCTTCGGCTTTGAGTTCTGACCACCTCTTGCTTTAGCGGCAGCCACAGTTGTGCTTCTGGATGTAGCAGGTGGTAGCGTGGCGGCGAGGGTTCTGGTGGGAGGTCGTGCAGAGCAGAACCCAGCAGGGCGACAGTTACCGACGGGGGGCCTGCCCACCTGATGGGGTTGGTCAGAAACTGACTTGGACCTCATTGGCACTGGCCTTTTGGCGACTTGCCTGGACACCTCAGTTACAGATTTGGACCTGTTCTTTATGGCTGTGTCTTTGACCTTTTCGCTCTCTAGTTTAGGTGCTGGTGGCTTAATAACTGCTGCACTCAAAGAATCACTTGACTTCCAAATAGAGCCAATTTTTGACTGAACAATTCTGCCTTTGTACATCCCTGGAGCAGGTTTTACTGACTGCTTTGGAGCTTCAGCCACAGCGGGTTTGAGTATTTGTGCTTTGACATCTTTAGTATCTCTCTGGAACTTTCTTTGAGTCTCTCCAGACACTGGCTTCCTACCCAGCTGTTTACCCTTTGCCTTAAGAGAATCATCCTTGTTGAAGACATCCTCTTGTTTGTTGGCTTTGATTTGGAATGGCACAGCTGATGTAGGGCCCATTTTAACAAAGGATTTTGCTCCAGTTGGAGGCTGAGTGTTCTCCTTGTTTCCCTAGTAACGTTAAAAGAACATAAGTGTTAAATCGGGTGTAAAAGCCCAGGGAGCTGATTATACTTTCATTTAATAAGACTTTTATCCCGAACTCACCTTATTATTGGGATGTTTTCGTCGTGAAATTGTGATGGTGTCCATAATGTGGCCTAAAAATTACAGATGCAGACAGTTAGCGGCAGAAATACACAAGCATGACTTTAATATCTAAAAAGTAAATACGTCATGTAATCGATTCGAGATATACGTAATCTGGAAGAAATACGTTGACGTATTTAAAAGTTTGGACTAAAACAAATAGTAATTTATTCGGCATGTTATATGCCTGCATCACCTTAAAAAATACTAGTCATTACTTAACGCACACAGACTTGCAAGAAATCTTAACTTACCTTGCAACGGTTGGTCCAAACAGCTTTACACCACTGATATCCCCCACAGTAAGCCTCTGTCTGAGGAAAACACGCGGATACAATTTCATTTGACTTCGCGCTTATTGCTTTACGATTGGCTGGCTAGTATCGCGAGAATTTAGAACTAACCAATAAATTGTCAAACGACAGTTGCGTCATTACGTAGCCTGAGCGGCTTCTACACTACAGCAGTTTGAATGTTTGAACCCAAATAGAATTCCAGAAGTACTGGTCGGAACACACCCATTGTGTTGCAGTTCTGACTGAGGCAGAGGAAAAATAGAGGGTAGTGAAGATAGACTAATGACATTAGGAGTTTTTACACGGAATGCTTAATGCTGCACATTTCATTCTGTGTGTGTAAATGATGTTTCCAGGTCAGCAACCGTCTACAATCCACAGTATAACAATGGTCGCTCTATTTGATTTAGACGCCGTGTTTTTTTTTTTTTTTTTTTTTTTACATATCTACAATATGACTGGAAAACCACAACATAAGCAGTCAAAGTTCGTAACATGCCGAGACATGTTTTTTTTTTTTTTTTTATCTTGGGAAAGTGGCAAACAAATCTCGCGCTAATTTCTACTTCGGCTAAACGTTGTCTAAACCAACCGGAAGTTAACTTACCTTCAAAATAAAAATAAAACATGGAAACGTAAGCAAAAACGTGTAGTAAACAAAGTCTGATTGTTGAACTTTTTAAAGATAAGGGTTAATAAATTAGAAATGTGTAAATTCTAATAAAATAATAATGAATAAAAGTTCATTTATTTTAGTAACTTAATTTTCTAAGTAAAATATTATGTGGGTTAATTACACAGACTGACTGATTTTCCACTTAAAGTTATGTGGGCAGTGGGCTTAGTAAAAAGTATAAGTAAAACCCCCTTAAAGGTTTTTATTTTTACAAGGTTCTTTTAATCTGATGCATCAGACCTTTAACAAGGGCTTACCATGGCAGTATCCCTCTCAAGCCAAAGTAATCTGCTCTGACCTAAACCTTAACCCCAAGGATACTAGACACACCAACTAAAACTCATCCCGTGTTCAAAGAAAACCTTCTAGTAAGGGCAGACCAATCGATCTATAAATCTATTATCATTTGCATGAATAATATACTGCTCAAAAAAATAAAGGGAACATTTCACTTTAATTTTGTGTGTGGCTCCAAATCCAGGCCTCCATTGGTTAATAAATTTGATTTCCATTGATGATTTTTGTGTGATTTTGTTGTCAGCACATTCAACTTTGTACAGAACAAAGTATTCAATGAGAATATTTCATTCATTCAGATCTAGAATGTGTTATTTGAGTGTTCCCTTTATTTTTTTCAGCAGTGTATAAACTCTCTAAGAGGCCAAATCCTCCTCATTATACCTCTAACTACAAAGTTGCCCTAATTGAACTTCAGCTGCTCTAAATTAATGTCATATGAACAAAAATGCAATTTTTGTAACTTTGAAATTATGTAGGTGGTCTTCTTGAACCACACTGCACTCATCAAGTTCACTTTTCAGAGGCTTTTATAATTTTATTCTGAAGGCAATAACCGGAAGTCTTAGTTCTTCATAGCCTAATGCTAGATCTTCATAGCTTGGCAGCTAACGTTAGCAGTCGCCTCTTTCTTCAAAAAGTCCACGAAAAATAGAGTTTTATTCCTAAAAAGTCACCATGCAGAACCACTGCGTCGTGCTGGACTGTCTCAGTGGTATTTCAGACTTTCAGGCGCTCTTCCGGTTTCCACGAGATCCAGACAGGTAAGTGATGCTAATGTAGCCAGGAAGATGTGCATCAGTTAGCATAATATCGGTTTCGCGGGTCTAATAATGTCTTTTAATGCACCGCTGCATGTAAATTGTGTGGCTTTGTGAGCTCCATTAAGATTTTGTTGTTATTCCATAGTTAAATCCTAATATCTGTAGAAATATCCGCAATAGATTCACAGTGAACTTTTGTGCATTTAGTTAAAAATGGACCAAAACGAACGAAGAATTCCGGAAGTTTTTTCAGCAAAAAGATGTAAAATTGAAATTATTGCCGTTTAATCTTCCATTGGGATCAATAAAGTATTTTTGAATTTGAATATGTAGGAACTCTGTAATATGCAACATCATTGTATAGCTGGTGTGTTCCTCAGATCGCAGAAGTGGGTTGAACAGTGCCAGAGGGATGACCTGAAGGAGAAATCAGCGGAGCAGCTCTACAAATACTACAGACTCTGTGGGAAACATTTTGAAGCATCTGCATTTGATAGTGTAAGTTCTGTGCTCAGTTTGGATGGCTGTGTTGCAGATTAGAGCGTGATCCAACACTACATATATGTAGATTTCTATTTATGTTTCTACATCTCTACTATGTATGCTTTTAAAATAATTTATTTCTGTCATTATAAATGTTTACACATTTCTCCAGTATTTTCATGCTAATCTACACAATGTTGTTTCCTCTCTTCTTTATCCTGTAGAATTGATTGATTTCATTTTCACCATCAATATCTTGACTAGTTTCATCAGTGTATTGATTAAACTTTAGTTGATCATTTCTAGCCTTTAAAAGTCTGTCTTCCTATTTTAATCTCTAAGGTATCTTGGGTTACACCTACTTGGATGAAAAGAACTCTGTGAATAAAGTTTGATTGATTGATACAATTCACTACCACAATGGTGGTATAAAAGAAGTCTAAAGTATATATATATATATATATATATATATATGGATTACATTGTGTGCTTTTGTTCCAGGATGCTCCAGGTTCTGTGTTGAAAGCTGATGCTGTCCCATCTGTGTTTGATGGTCCAGGCCAGCCTCAGAGTGGACAGGTGAAGCATGGTAAAGAGACGGTGGGTAAAAGAATGATTCATTAATTATAGTGGATGTCAAATGTTTACATCATCTGTAATTGTCTCAAAATGTTGACAGCTTTTTGCAAATGCATGTTTTTTTTTTTTACATTTGCCAGACAAACAACACCTAAACATAAGATTTTTTATGTTAAGGTGAATGGTACAACATTTGTCACACTAGAGGGAGATGATGTTTTAGAATGATTTGTCATGGTATATTTAATGTATTTACAAAAAATTATTTTTAACTGCTTTTAATCTAATTTCACTTTTGATGTGTCTGATTTTCTCTGAAGACAAAAGATAGTGAAACTGAGAGAAGAGGAAGGAAAAGTAAGATGAAATAATGCATTTTTTTTTATTTTAAAAAATGTGTTCCAATTGTAACCAAAATGTTTTGTTTTTTTTTTTGTTTGTTTTTTTAAGGAATGAAAAAAGCTCCAGCAGAGCCTATTACTGAAACTGTCCAGAATGTACCAGAGGAAGATGAAGAGAAAAAGTACCTCAAGACTTTATTGGAGGTTCTTCTACTTCTCGGAGAGCAAAGCATTCCGCCATTTGCACCGTGCAATGGGAAAGATGATGGCTTGAAGTCATGTAATTTCCAGGCGTTGCTGGAATACCGCCTGAACTGTGGCGATGAAGTCTTAAAGAACAAGTTTGATTCTTCAAGGCAAAACTGCTTTTCCAACGAACTCGACATGCTAATCACGGTTTGTGAGCAGTATGTGCGCAGTAAGGTGATCGAGGGAGTCAAGGAAAATGGCTTTTTCTCACTGCTCACCAGCGAACCGGTGAAGATCTCAGGAGAATGGTGCCTTCCGGTGTTCCTTCGTTATGTGGACCAGTTGAAAAGCCATCAGGAGAAGTTTGCGGGGTTCTTGACCTTTGAAGGAGACGAAAATGACCTGGCAGAAAAACTACTATCTGAAATGACCGATAGATGGGGTTTAGATATGAGCCAGTGTAGAGCGCAAGCTCACGCCTGCTCTGGGACCCACTCGAGAAAAATTAAAGCATTTGCTTCCAAATTGGTTGAGAAGTACCCCAAGGCTTTACTGACATTTAGACCTACTAATCCGTTGACCCTGGCTCTGGCCAACAGCATGGGAGTGTCAGGGGTTCAACTCGTCCTGTCCACCTTTAAGCAGATAGAATTGTTTTTCTCTCAGTCACCACTACTGCAGGTGGAGTTTGAGCATGCAATTTCCATCTTCTACCCAGACAAAGAGGACAAAGCTGAGGAGCTGAAGAAGATCTGCCGGACCGGCTGGCCCAGAAGAAATGATGGGTTTGAGGTGGCACTGGATGTCATAGAGGCACTGTTGCTCTGTGTGGACAGCGTCCACGACAACGAAGACATGAGGTGGAATGACCAAGTCACCCACAGTGCTTTAGAGATCTCCAAAGCCTTAACTGACTTTGAGTTCATCATGGCGTTAATCGTGCTGAAAAACGTGATGGTGCTCATCCAGGCGTTTGGGAAAAACCTCCAAGGTAAAGCGGTGGACATCCATTCAGCTACAGCCAGCTTGACCGCCGTGCTGCAGTCCCTGAAGGAAATGTCCGACAACATCGACGTCTACCACGACTTTTTCTACGACGAAGCCGTCAACCTAGCGGCAGCCATGGAGATCCCTGTCAAGGTTCCTCGGTTCTTCTCGAGGAAGCGTCAGGGAGAACAAGGAAGCACTCAGGAGGATGACTACTACAAGGAGCATGTGACGGTTCCTGCGGTGAAGCACGTCATCGGCGAAATGAATGATCTCTTCTCTCAGGATCACATCAAGGTCTTGGGGTGTATGTGTCTGATCCCAGACATCATAGAGGGGAAGAAGTCCACTCAGCCGGACGAGGAGAGCATTCAGGTGTTCAGCGACGACATCCCGAATGCAGGAAGTCTCTCCGCTGAGCTGCACTGCTGGTGGGTCAAATGGAGCAAGAAAGGCAAAGGCGAGACATTTCCCTCCAGCCTCCATGACACGCTACAGCTGGCGGACGTCAAGTTCTTCCCCAACGTGATGACGGCTCTGAGACTCCTCAGCATCCTACCCACGCTGGCTCTGGAGGACAGCTCCGACGTGGCGTTCAAGCGTTACCAGATGTACATAGAGAATATGCCTGACAATGTCAAGTCAAAAAGCCTCGCCCTCTTCAACATAAACTACGACGTTGGGTTCGATCTGGACTCCATGGTAGAGCTCTACCAGAAGACGTACCCTGAAAGGCAGGAAGTCTCTTGAGCTTCCAGAAAATGTTAAACTTTATTTTCTGACCCTCAAATGAAAATGGAATGTTTTGTACTTGGTTTTATTTTTTATGTTGAAGTGTAGACATGAATATGGTTAGATCTGTACACTAGGTCTCTATAGTTTTCTTTTCTTCCACTGTTGATCAGTTCTCTAGTAAAATGATAATTTGTTCTGCTGTTTTGAGAGTTTTGTCCAGATTTGCAGAAAACATGCCCAGTCTTGAATTTGCAATTAAAGAGAAGGAATTTTTAAATTCACTTGTATTGTTGTCATTCTGCTTTTATTTTAGGGTTTCCTTACTTAGCTTTCAAAATATAATTTCTGGATGTGATTGTAAAGTCACACTGATAATAAATAGTTTCTAATTATTTTACCAGAAGCAGAGATTATACATTATAAACATTTAATATGTTCCATGCCTTTGAAAGGTTTTCATATTCCCTAACATTTTTCACATTTTTTCAAAAAATACAAACCATTGTATTTTGTTAAAAATGTATGTGACACGTTAACATACTGGGAAGAGTAATTATAAAGAGGATATTGGGGAAGTGGTGTTTGTATTCATAAAATACAACCTCCTCGTCTCAATACTTTGTAGAACCATATTTCAGTGTGGTTCTTATCACACTAAGTATTTTGGCAATAACTACTAACTTTTCACATCTGCTAACTATTTGCTAAACAACTCAACCTCAGTCAAATTGAATGGAGTGCGTGTAAACAAAACTTTTGCCATACTAACACATAATGTGTTGACCTAAACCTTACAATTATAATGCTGTATGTTTACAGCTAATGCTGTGTGTTCATGACTCAACTCTTTAGCAGCCTTAAACAGTTTTTCCCCCAGTGTTGGTTTGTATTTTATTTAAAATCTTGCTAGAAGACAGGAAAATGTTACAGAACTGTTTTATTCTCTTTCAAATCAGTGCAAAAAAAGTCAATGTGTGGATAAAATGAACTAGTCAAAAACTTCAGTGATTTTATGTGGAATGATAATGTTGAAATCTAGATTTTGCTTATAAGAAGCATTTCCACAGTTCAATTTAATGAAAATCACTGCCTTATTTTATGGTTTATTGTAACAAATATATTCTCAACTGGCAGTGATGAAGTAAGGGTCATAAAGCCTTCACATTAGATCAGAAGCAGATGTTCAACTGCTGATATATATATTTTAAACAACATATTGAAATAAATATTGAAGCCATATTAGGAGAGTCAATGTGATTATCAAAATACAAAAAGGCTCTTTTTGGAGTATTAGGGCCATAAAAACAAAGAACCCCCCCCCCCCCCCAAAAAAGGTATAAAATTATGAAGAAAAAAAACACAAAAAAAAAAAAAAAAAA